CGAGTACTGTGTTCAGTTTTGGGCCCCTCGCTACAAGAAGGACATGGAGGTGCTTGAACGAGTCCAGAGAAGGGTGACGAAGCTGGTGAGGGGTCTGGAGAACAAGTCCTACAAGGAGCGGATGAGGGAGCTGGGCTTGTTCAGCCTGGAGAAAAGGAGGCTCGGGGCGACCTTATTGCTCTCTACAGGTACCTTAAAGGAGGCTGTAGAGAGGTGGAGGTTGGTCTGTTCTCCCACGTGCCTGCTGACAGGACGAGGGGGAATGGGCTTAAGTTGCACCAGAGGAGTTTTAGGCTGGATCTTAGGAAGAACTTCTTTACCAAAAGGGTTGTTAGACATTGGAACAGGCTGCCCAGGGAAGTGGTGGAGTCACCATCCCTGGAAGTCTTTAAAAGACGTTTAGATGTAGAGCTTAGGGATATGGTTTAGTGGGGACTGTTAGCGTTAGGTCAGAGGTTGGACTCGATGATCTTGAGGTCTCTTCCAACCTAGAAATTCTGTGATCTGGGTCTGGGGCTCCCTGCAAAAGAAGGATGTCGATCTGTTAGAGCGGGTCCAGAGGAGGGCCATGAATCTGATCAGAGGGCTGGAGCACATCTCCTGTGAAGAAAGGCTGAGAGAACTGGGGCTGTTTAGCTTGAAGAAGACAAGGTTCCACAGAGACCTTATGGTAGCCTTTCAGTACTTAAAGGAGAAGAGCAACTTTTTACATGTGCAGATAGTGATAGGACAAGAGAGAATTGTTTTAAACTAAAAGAGGTTAGATTTAGTTTACATGTTAGGGCAAAATTCTTCACTCAGAAGGTGGTGAGCCACTGGAACAGGTTGCCCAGAAAGGTTGGGGATGCCCCATCCCTGGAAGTGTTCTAGGCCAGGCTGGATGGGGCTTTGGTCAGCCTGGTCTGGTGTGCGGTGTCCCTGACCTATGGCAGGTGGGTTGGAATTAGATGATCCTTAAGGGTCCTTTCAAACCCAAACCATTCTATGACTTTTAAGAAAAATTACAGGCAAGGTATTCTGAATATGATAGAACAAAGTGTATAAGTTTATTCCATTTCAAACTAGAAGTCTTGTTGAAATATTCAAATTGTCAGACTGAGGAAAGCATTCATTCATAGGTAGGTTTGCATTTAAAAGAAATGCATACAAATAACACCATTTTTAGTATGACCACCTACTCAAAAAGACAATCCATAGATACTCCATAGCAACTTGTAATTAAATTAACAGAAGGCTCTCTGCCATTCAATTTTAGTGTAAGCTTTGGTCCCAGAAAGAGCCAACAACTCTTCACAGGGAAACAGCTGAACTTACTGGACATCAGCCTTTCTAGGGCACCCACCAAAATTGGTAGCTCAGCTTATAGACTGTTTACTGATGTATAGCACTATGATTTTGTTGAAATATCGAGTGTCAATTACACCATGGGACTGTTTTATGGTAGTGAGACAAAGCTCCATGTGGTTTATTAATAGCTTCATCCAGAATAACAGTGAGAAATCGTATTGCAATGGTCTGATTCACTACTTTAGGGCCTAGAAATTAGGGCCTAGACTGAAAACCAAGAGACATGGAAAATGACTTTTTCCCCTACTGTCATAAGCTGTTAAGAAAGAAGTTGAAATGGCTATTCTAGATTCTAGGCCCAGCTTCAACATGTGCTTTCAAAAAAGAGTACGGCTTCACCACAAAAGACAGAAGAGCTTCCTCATATTCACACTCCTCCCTCCAAACCTTCTCCCCTTCCCAGCCAAGTTCTCTCTTTAGAAATGGAAAACACACAGTTAAACAGACCACTGTTCAGAGTGGTAAGTCTGAAAGACAACAGGCCTCAGGGGACAGACTACCTAAGTTATCAGACCAGAGAGGTGTCCTGAATACCTGTCAATCTTTTCTTTGGGAAGTTGTGTAGACAGACATTTGCTGGCCCTGAAATGAGAATCCAAGTCTCTATCACTTTCAAGAACTACAGCTAGTATCCTCTTAGAGGAATTTTATCAGACATTCTTCATTTCGGAAGTGATAGCATTACTGGGCTACCAAGCAGAAGAGGAAGTATCTCTTCCTGCAACAGAATCAAGTCCTTCATTCTGGTTATGCTGCAAGCGCTCAGAAACAAAACATTCTGGAAGTCTTAATAAATAGTCAACTCTTTTCCAAAACACTTTGTGTGTGTGTGTGTGTGTGTAAGAAAATTCTAATCATATACCATATACTTATATAATCATTGAATTTGAATTTTTGAATGTTAACCTGAAAAACAATGATTCACATAATTTGAATATGAAGTCCAAAAACCATATATTCATCTTCCAAGATGCATTTATTTTTCATCCAATACTTTCATTTGAAACCTTATGGTTCTCTTTTTTTGCTTCCCTCTCCACAGCAGCCTTACTGTTTTCTAACTTCCAGCATGTGAATTATTTCACCTAGGATTTCCCTAGTGATTCAGAGATAATGTATGCAAACACTTTACTACCATGAAAATAGCAATGACATTTTTTCTCTCTTTTTTTTTTTTTTGAAAGAAATCAGCTTTATTTTGTGGCAAATATATTTAAAAGGTAAACCAAACTGTGCTTAAATAAGTGACCAAACATAACATCTATCCATGAAATACTAATATATTTTAGGTCTGAATGAAAGAAAGTGCTGATAGTCATCAGATGGAAGTCCTAGGTGCATATTTTAAGTCATTTGATATGTTTTAATAGCCAAATCTTTGCTGAACCACGGGCAATCACCATGCTCTCCAGTAACTTATTTCACAGCCTGCATTGTCACAGTAGTTTTGGAAAGACTTGAAATTTCTGTACCTTGTGTTTCTGTAATCCTTCTATTTCTAATGTTAGCTATATTGCTAAGGGTTCACTGTCACAAATTAGACATGGAGAGCCACTCAGTCCCATAGTAACTTATCAAGTGAAAAATTTGCATATTGTAATCTATAGCCTTACATGACATTTTCTGAAATGTCATCCACCATTAGAATCACTCATAAGAGTGTTTTATAAGCAAGTGGCAGAGGCTTCTCTGATGCTCTGATAAAAAGACACTCAAGATCACATTTATTCCATGTGTTATATACATCCGATTCTGTAAGTTTGCCCATTATTGCATGGTCAGGATGAGTAACTGAATGTACTCAGTCCATCAAAGACACAACAGTTTACGGACAACAAGGTCACTTACTGACAGAAGCTTCCAGGGATATGCTGCAGTAGAAGATCAAAGGAGAAAAGTCCTCACAGAAAATAAGTAAGGTCCTCTTAGAAGCGGAATATGTGTCTGAGAAAGACTAGTCCATAAAGTTTTATGAATTTATCCCTGGTTTTGTGAGACAAGGTGTGAGCCTGTCACAACAAACTGTTTTTTTCTGGTTAAAAACAAAACAACAACAAAAAATAACCCCCAACCAGAACTTGAGTAAACATAAGCTCAACACTATTCATGTCCCCCTTGAATCTCTGAATGCAATAAATTCAAAATGCCTGCGGCTTTTCTTCTTTTATAGTCAAATAATTCAAACATAGATGTCTTGACTGAAGAGCACTCTGGAATTAGCTCTAAATCCGAAAGATATTCCCAGCTATTGTGCTGTATTTCCACAATCACTTCAACATAGGTAAAACATATGATAATTTCACTGATAACCCTTGTTTGCAAGTTTCATTATTGCTGAAATGCACTGAGGTTTGGGACTCCTGTCATTGGGTTTCTAGTGGGCTCATATGCAGGTGTAACACATTTTTACTATGCTGTTTTCCCAATCATACTTCCATAACACCTGTTAATTCTTAAGTGAGCTATTGCTACCATGCAACTGCTGGCTAGCAGTGAAGCCAGTCTTATCCACTACAGCAGATGTCACTACTACTGTGTGACCTCTTTCTTCTAGTATTCAGTCACCCAGATGAGTTTTTCTCACCTGAAACTCCTCAGTTTGGCTGGAGAACCATCTAAGTCTTAATCAGTTGTCAGCACCTACCCACTAACAGCCTCTTTAAGCCTGCAGGGCCTGTGCGCTTTGCTTTCATGTTTCTCCAGGGTTCAACTGCTCCCAATAATTAGCCAACAGAACCACCGAGTGCAGCCTAACAAAGCAGTTAAGACAATTCAAAGGCTAACTGACATGGTATGAGGAAGTCCAGCCATGCATTCCCACTGCTTCCCTACCACCATCTGACCCCATAGCAAGCAGGTTAGAAAGCCACCCCAACAAACAAAAGAATGCAATAATCTCCCCTAAACTAGTTGGTGGTAGGATTAAATACGCATTAGCACCAGAAGAAGCACAATGCAAAGCTTGGGAGGAAGGAAGTAGGAACATCCCTTTCAGCAGGGGTTAGCCTTTTGATTGCCTTATCTGCATTGTCACACCAGCGTCCAAAGGGACGTTTGTCCTGTGCTTCAGGAGCAACTGAGCAGACTTAACAGCTTTCTGATGCTGAAAGGAGCAGTCCCATTCTCCTCTTCCTTGCATTCCAGCTCTGGCACGTACCTGACCCCTTAGTAAACTGACCCACTAATCCAGTGGAAAGCTATTTGCTTTTTTGGTTGGTTTAGTTTGCCAATGGTTTAATTAACTGAATTGGCTCAGAGAGGTCTGAGAAGCACCAACAAGGCAGAAGCAGGGGAAGCGCACAGCCAGGAGAAGGGGAGGAAACAGGGCTGCCCATGCAGCAGCAGCCAGCAGGCAGCTCAGCCAGGCACCTCACCTCCCAGCACCCTGGCCAACATACTGCCAGCTGCCAGCTCTGTCTTCCAGTCCTGCCTGCCCATGTCTTCCTTCTGGTGCTAACAGTGTCCTGCAGCAGAGCTTAGTACCTGCAAGTCACAGCAGGCTCATATTTATTGTCCAATATACCTTAACTGAGACGGGGTCAGTTAAGATTCACCATTTCTCTTTTCAAGGTTTTCCCCGTTCCATGAAAGCTTCGGATTAAAAACCGCTCCCCACTGTAAAGTCAGCTTAGCACCCAGGCTGTCAAGCCTACCTTAATATCAGTAGTCTCTGCAGCTCCATAACCAAATCCTCCTCCTCAGGGCCTGCTTCCTTTCCAGAGCCTCCAGCTCACTGCAGCAGGAGGCCCAAAGACCTTCCCTTACTGCGGGCTTCCACAGGACTCCGCTCCTGCCCTCCTGCTGCACCTGGCAGCAGGTGCTGTCCTGCCAAGGCACAGCCCTTCCACATAACACTCAGAAACTGGAAACACACATTGCCCCATGTTACTGGGTCGCGTGAGCTTCCCAGGCAGAAAACAGCTGAGTTCAGTTCACAGCTGCACTGAGCAGAAATGTAGCATGCCCACTGGCAGTGGCCTTTGTCACATGTGAAAAGCTGAGGGTGCTTTTCTGTGCTTCTAGGATCAAATGGAGACTGTTAATTTTTTTTGAACAGAATATCTGTTTAATCTTATATATGCATATATGTGTACATTTGGGTTTAACCCAGTTTTATTTACTATTACATGTTTTGCCAAACACATTCATAAACCATTATCTTGAAGAAATACTGTTGGGATACAACACAAGTGAGAACTGATTTTGTAACGTAAACCTTAGCCTGCTCAGGATCACAGTGCTGAAGTATTAAATCTTTTTATTGTGATATGAAGAAACAATCATGATATCCCTGCAAGTTCCCTTTTCCAGTAGTTACAGAAGATGAACTGCATGTTAAATACTATTTCTAGATTACATTTCTATCCTTCAAACAGCTTTAAAAAACTGTCATTATAAGAACATTAAAGAAAACAGAAAAAATAATAAATATGTAGATAAGTAAATGTCAAGGCCATTAAAGAGCTTTTCTTAAATATGCTTAATATAATGCTCTGAAATTAAAGAAAATTAATATTGTGAAAAACATTTTGAAAATTAAAATCTTTTAGTTCTACAGGAATGTATTCTGTAGGAATGTATTACGAAGTTAGGCAGCAATCATATGCATAATTAAAGAAGTGATTATATGTATATTTATACCATCAATGCATAATCCTCAATTTGTTTAACATAAAACAGAACATCAAGGAAACGAGAATTTAAATTCCACTTGTTTAATATGGAAGATTAAGTACATAAAAATTGCTTGTAATTTAAAAGTGTATAACTTGAACAAAATTTCAAGGTGGAAAATATTTGGGAGGAGGTAATGAGTGGAAAAAAATGAAAATATTAATATTGTGCTTTATGAAAAGAAACGTCATTTGTAAAAATTAAGGATTTGTATGTTTCCATTTCAAAGACTTTAAAAGAAGGCAATGGCAATTACATAGACATCTCTTCATTTCAGACAAACCAGATAGAGTTCTGTAGTTTTCACACAGAATTTTTGTGTGGGTCAGGCAGCATATTCACAGTCATCTCCCTTACAGATTGCTGTCTCTAACAACAATCATCTCAGAAATATTTGTTTATATTCAGATTAATAACAAGATGTATTCTGCGTTTGTGATGAGAAACTTGGGATTTTTATACTATACCTTCAGCTTGACTGGTACATTTTGAATACAATTAAAAGTCTCCACCTCCTTTCTTGGAAGCCCTGGAAGATGGTTTAAGTGCCTTCCTACCCCAAACAAGCTTGTTTGGGAAAACACAGGGTAGAAGAGAGTGCAAATGCTGCCTATTTACAGACAGGGGCCTCTGTGAGCTGCTGCTGAGGAACAACCACACCTTCTTAGCAAATCAGAGGAACCTTGGTCAAAGCTCTGTAATTTTAAGAACAGGTGATTTCTGCATCCCACTAAGCACTAAATTTTATGGACCAAACATAGTGACTCTTCTTCCAGTCTCAGCCAAGAGCTGTGACAAAGATTATTCCGTCAAAATTTTCTTCTCACAGGGAGTAGAGCATAGTCGTCTATTTTGATAACAGTATTTACGGTGTTTTCTTTTAGTCTCTTTAGAAATGGTACCCAGCTGTCTTGAAGGCAGCCTTTTTTATATTTGATTGGCAGCACTCTCAAGACCAAATATTGAGCTGTTCTAAGATGGAATTAAACAGCTATCATTGTAAATATAATGTTCTCTCTTACGGTTCTTACAGTTCTGTGGTTAATTGGATACCAGAAATAGATATTAGCCCATATTGTCAGTGTTGTATGGACTTGATAGGATAAGGACTCATCTGTCATCAAAATTAAAGGTATTATGGAACTTTCTGCACCCTTAATTCTGTTGTTCAAGGGATTCCAGCTTTCCACTGACCCCTTAGCAATAGCAACCCTCCTGTGCACAGATACTTGCAATAAAACATTAACAATCATCTACTCCTGACTAGGGAGGAAATAAAATCTGTACAGAAAATGTGTACTTCCACATGAAATAAAACAACGAAAACAATACTAAGAATTTAGCTTTTCATTTTCTTAGTTTTCAGAGTTTGTGTTAAAAAAGACACAGATATAGAGAGATGTTGAAATTATATCAAGGATTAAGATGAGATGAATATAAAATTTTATTTTATGCAACATGTGTTTTTATGAAAATAATGTACATTAACATTTAATATTATATCTATATTCATTATTATCATATTATTTTAGTGTTGTAACATTTTCTCTTTAAATAATTATTCAAACTTTTACTATTTGTGCCACAATTGCAGAAAAATACATTTTAAAATACTTGCTAAAACTATTTAAATACCATAATATCTGTTATTTCTTCATGTTTTAGAATAGCTACCACTATATTTGTCCTTTGTATTATAGGAAGAGAGTATATCTATTAATTGCTTACTTAGCAATGTATGTTTCCTTTGATTTAAAAGTGTTACTCAAATTAGTCCCTCTGGTTATCATTAGAAATGTGAGAGCCTGAAAAATCAAAGCTGTAGTGCAAGTCAGTGTCATTGACAGCTGCAAAAATGGTAAGTCAATAGAATTAATAGTATTTTTGTTCAAAGAAATGTTATTTTTATATAAACATATAAGCAGTGCTAACCAAGCTTGTAAGTAGAAAAAATAGGAAATGACATTTCATAATTTATGATTTATGAAGTCAGTCAATTGCTCATCACAAAATATATATATATATATGTGCTCATTTTTGAATATTTAATGCTTTAAATAATAAAAAATGTAGAAACAGCAAAATAAGAACTGATACCTATTCATTACCTGTTAAATATATTTTCAAATGAGCTAATATAGAAATCTTATCAGCGCTCTTTTATGATATATTCATTTGTTAAATTGTATTATGTAATTAATGTGCTGGTTTTCCTCTATGTTGTTATTTATTATGCCACTGTGGTTTAATTCGTAAGCCAAATGCACCTTCTGAGCATCTCAAAATGCACTGTAACAGTATGGACAGAGAAGATGGTGAAACTTAATATGCGGACCATATGCCTCAAGGATTGATGCTGCATATTAAATTCCATAGATTCTGCCAATAGCTTGAGTTAGAGTTCTACTGTTTTCTTTTGAAGGTGGTGCTCAGTCCAAACCTTTGCTCCTGATTTTCTTTTTGTTACTGTAGTCCGGGAATATCTAAATATCCTCACTTAAAATATTCCTGGAATCTATTCTGATTCAATCCACTTCTCTCTCTCTCACTCTCTCTTTTTTTTTTTTTTTTATCATTTACCTAGCTGCCCTTAGAATTCACTTCTAATAACTAAGCGTTACATAATGTGACTTTTTCTGACACAAATATATGGGATCCTAAATTCAGTTTTCAAAAAGAACAACTGGAGAGAATACCTGAGATGATCTTAAGAACAAGTAATTACATGGCATGAAATGTAACTCATATGTATTTCTAGTGAAGTTAACTTACTAGTTACTCTTCTGATAATTCTTACAGAGTTATGATAACTCTTACAGAGTTATCAGAAGACACTGTTCTACTTCAGTACTGTTTAAAGGTCTTACATAGAGTTTAAATATTCTGCCTGTCTCATACTGGCCTGTTCTTTTAGGCTGTGAAAATGAGGAGAAAATGTATGAGTCTTGCAAATTAGCAAGTAAATAAATAATACATTATAAAATGTCATTTAATTTCAGTGGGTAACTGTTATTTAATAACATGAATTATATTTTTTAGAATCCTGCTTTTCAGAATAGCTGTTCTTGTCATTTATCTTTTAAGAGAAGGGAATCTGGGTAAGAAGAGACCTCATTGCAACCCTCAGCTATTAAGCCTTTGCTGAGAATTTTTATGTGCCAATTATGGAGCGTTCAGATTAGCAAAGCATGAATTACCAATGCTTTTACAGCAGTTAGTGAATATCAGTTTGAAGTTAAAAAAAAAAAAATTGAAAGGATTATATAAAATACTTAAACATATACTAAGAGAAAAGAAAAACAAGTCCTTTTAAGTGCTACAATAGACTTCTTGAAAAATTAGCATGAACCAACCTGTCCTTTTTATCATACTTATTATAGAAATACCATTTTGAAAAATCTCAGAAATGACACCTTAGTAAGTTGCTATCTGATGCTAAAGACATAAGAGACAATTGATTTTCTCAGATTTTTATTTTTATTAAATGACAATTCTGAAAATAATTTGGAAGGAACAAAATGTGTTCAAACTATTGTAAGGTAAAGAAACAATATTAATTGACATATATTGCAACACTCAATGGAATATAGTGTGAAGAGTTACACTAAGTCTGTGTGAAATCGTTCGTCAGTCCTGTCACTTCAGTTTTAAGATGTGTTATCTGGAATGATTTACAGGTACAAGGGACTAAAAAAGAAGACATCACCATTTCACACCAAGGAGTGTTCCAATTATACTCTGTTACCTGTATTAGCAATTTATAATTTCTACTATCTAAAGTATGAGGCCAAAGTTCTATGTTGTTAATTGATATGGAAATGCATGGGCTAGCATACTTTGCAATTCTTTAGGATATTGAATGTGATAGGACATAAACATTATGAATTTGGAAATGCCTTGACTAAGCACACACAGTATTTTTACCTTTGGATTTTATATTGTAAACTTTTTTTTTTTTTTTAATCTAAATGGTTATGTGGTTATGTGCATCAAAGTGAAAGTGAAAGGATGACGAAATGTCTAGGTGAATTGGTATGAGGTGTACTTTCCCAAATATTCCACAGTTAGGCCTATTTTCCTTCTAAAAAAAAAAATTAAAGATGTCACTTCTGTTGTTTCTACATTGAACAGTGCAGATGCCATACCTTTTGAACTATTGACGCCTACTGCTGCAAACCACTGAGACTTCTGCTCATAAGAA